TAACAGAGAAGCATGCATAAAAGACAAAGTTTGGCAGTCAAAGATCTTTTGTCACCTAAAAACGAGTCACTTATATTTATATCAAGATAAATATATGCTCGCATCAACCCATAATTTAATTGCCGTCAAGGAGAAAGTAGCTCAAATGATTTGTATGTCAGACATCTGCGCGCGTATACTGACGTCGATCAAGCGCTGTGTCACTGGATACAGCGCTTAAACGACGCTATCCATGAAACAGTCAGCAGAGGGGTATGTAGAAGGCAACGTGGTAAAAACAAGTTCGGCCTTCAAGCCAAATACTTTATCCGTGAACAGGAACTGAAAATTTAAGACTGGCATACTGACACTAACACTCATTATTCGACCTCTAAAACGAATCATATTCATCGCTCTGCCAATATAGCAAACAACTTTGTGCGAACATATTTTTCTTTACGTAAACTGAACTCTCACTTTTCACTCGACTTGCATGTAGAGCCTTCATGAGAGACTCCTAGCAACAATTTGCAAAACTGCCAAAATGTTTTTAGATGGGATCGAACCAGTGCAACCACGGAATACGATACAAATTCATGATACCGCTTTGCATGAGGTAGGAACTTACGCTGATTCATAAACTGATCATGAGACAGCGCGCATTGCGTTGGTTTGCCTGTTCCGCTCCCTGTCCGATACTGGTTTATCATAAAAACTGTGGTATGAAAGCAAACATGACTGCCCAGTCAAACACTACACTTTAACCAATGCCTTTTGACGTCTAAATAGTCAGAACTAGATACAAACCGGTCAGAAACCGAATGGCGCTTCAAGATTGTAAAAAATCGTTCTCTCCTCTGCAGTCTAAATATGCATAACTTCGCATTACTGAAAGTGTATGAAAAAAGATGTTACGCTGGACCTACAAACCACTGTTTTATCACTTTCTTGGATATACCATTTCTTGCAAACCATATAATGCTCACTGTTTTATGACTGGAGCAGTTGGACGAATATGTGCCTTCAGGGAACACTTGAATCAATAAACCAGAACATACTATTAATGCCTCAATATGGTGAATAAATTGTATACCCTAGCGGTTGGGGCCGATTCACGCGCCTTCTTCAACAGCAGTCGTGCGCGTTCATACTCATTGTTCTCGCTTTCGAGCTTGACGGCAGCCAGCCAGATGTCTTCAGAATTCGGGTTCGCTTGAAAGGCCATCGAAAGAATCTTACGTGCTCCTTGCACATCTCCCTGGCAAAAGCAAAAATTAAGTCATTGACGAAACACGCATAATAAAGAGATGCACCGCTAGCCACTTAGTCTTTGCATACATCAGCCAAAGTATCTCAGCCTTCGGGCAGTTCGTGACGGCCTGCTCAAACAGTACTTCCAGCGACTCCCTAAAAGCGGTGTCAGCCATGTCAGTGCAAAAGCGGGAAACATAACCACGTACGCTGAACCGTGTTTGCGTTCAAAAGTGACAGCCGGTAGCCAAACAGTCTTCTTGTTCGGAAAAACCTTCAACGTGTGCACGTAAATCGCTCGGGCACATTCGACAGCACCTTGGGCACAGAACTAAACCTAACGTTTGATTTCAAAGACGACGGAATACCTCTGTATTCTCTTACCGATTCCGCGTCTTCGAGCCACATTCGTTTTCGGTCCTCTTCTTCCACTCCCACGCCAATAACCGCTCTGCTGAAAAAGAAGAAACGGGAAAGATGAAATTACGAAAGCTACACCATTTCAGAATACACACGCTCGACTTTCTGCACCAACATCATTACAACAGAACCATCAAAACTTACACAATAGCTTGGCATGTGAGAATGTTGCCACCTTTTTCAGCTTCTGCTGCGTCTTTCATCCACTGCTCCCTGTTTATTTCCACCATGTTAGCTCGCAACGAACTTATGGCTCGATCGATAATCTTTTCGACCATATGAACATTGCCGTTCGCCTCTTCCAACTTCGAAGCAGTAATCCAGATCTGGCGGTCTGTTGGAATATTTTCTCGAGCCTTGTTAAGAACCTATAATTCAAAAACGAATCAAAAGGATTTATCTTTATTCACACGGAGTTTAAACACCAATTTAAATCAATTTCCATAAAACTGCAAATTCAATATCCGCTAAACATATGCAGCTCTAAACTCAGTGCGGAGGTGACTGTTTTACACAACCGCGACAACAAAATTCTTTTCCTCCGTTTTCAGCGAAGATATGACAAATTTCATCCGTTAAGAAACGACTTTCATTGATGCAACATTTTACTCTATTCCGCTCCTTGTTCTGCTACAACAGGACACGAAAATGCGGGTAATATTCAATATACGCCAAAGGTGTCTTTCTGAAAATTAGGCTGCAAGTCAGAAGTAAGTTAACTACAGGATACTTTAAAATTAAGGCATTGTTGATCCGGCACGTTGGAATATTTTACTTCTATGCTCTGAAATAATGATTGTTGTTGTTTTGGGTAGTATATTTACTGATAGAAGTATATTTGTTGGTAACTCGAACAAGTTGAAACTCCACCCAACACAGTGAAGTGGCTGTTTTATATCCATACACGCATGTGACTAAATTATATGAAGCCGTGGCCTGCTCCAATGGCCCTTAGACCTACAGAAGCAAGAGCTGGAACGATTAAGCTGCTGAATCTGGATAAGTGAAGCGTATTTTCACCGATGCTACTGAAAACATTTGTCAGTAAATTCACATTTTTGTTAGATAACAATATATGATATTGCCAAGTAAGATGCTATGTAAGAATTTAAGAATACAAAGAGAGTGCAAAAAATTGTTGGAATGGGGAGGTTTTCTAAATACAGCAGTCAAAATGCCTGTCGTCCTTGGGACCGCTGTTTCTTAAAAACCTCAAACGCATAGAAAGCTGACTGGGTGATCTGCTTCACTTTATACAGTCAAATAAACCAGTGTGCTTTTGATAGGCTCTTTCATACAAATCTTATGAATGATCAAGAATATTAACAAAATTCTAAGAAATAAACGAGATTAATTAACTAAAACAACACAAACTCAAAAAGTAAATGTGTGGTTCAATGCATTTTATTACGGCACCTTTCGAGCATTTTCATAAGTTTCCAGCTTTGCCAGTGCCAACCAAAGTTCGACGCTCGTTGGGCAACATTCAACGGAGCGCGACAACAAAATTCGCGCGTCTTCCGGATCTTCGAGCTCAACAGCCGCTTTCCACAGCCTGACTGAATTTGGAATCTGTTCAAGAGCTGAAAGTGAAATAGGTCGGAGTTCGTTTGTAAAAAAGCAGTAATGGCTTAGTAGCAGTTTACAACTGAACGACAAAAATCTTACGTATAATTATGAAAAACGTGCCACTAAAACTGTGACAGTATGTTCGCAATTTTACTGGAAGACCACAATGAATGTCTAACGATAGTAAGAAAATAGAAAACGATTTGCTAGAAAATTGTTATTTACTATAAATGCTGAAAAAACTGAAACACGCAGTTGAAAACCAATATCTGGGGCATAACAATTGGCTCTATGTTTGATCTAAAGAGCACCAAATAAATAACAGAAGACAGAGTAGGCCTTATTCCAGCGATATGAATTACTATAGACTGCGCTACGTAGCAGTTAATGCACTCTTGTCACAACCTTGACACATCGCGGATGAAACTGGGGACTCCTAGAACGAAATTCCCAAAATCTACGAATCGCAGCAACCTAATATGGCTAAGTGGCAATACAATAAACCTTACCTTGCTAAAATCAGTAATTTATTTGGCCTGCCGCAAGATACGAGCGATAATGATGAACAATAGGGAAGGTTAAATGCAAACCCATTGAAATGTTCGAAAAGTAGTGTTACAGATAACTGCTACGCGTCTCATTAACTCTGAAACTTATTAAAAACTTTAAGACCTATGAATCAAGTATTAATTGAATCAGGGCGGTATTCAATCCTTGCCTTTAAAAAGCACTCTTGAACGAACAATTACACTGCATCAAATCGTGGGAAACTACCGCCACGTACGGAGTACGATTTGGCGGCACTAATGGACGTCATACTGAAGAAAACCGAGATGATAATGGGTAGTGGATAATAGAAAGTGGACATATCTAAGAATCGCTGATGCTAAGAGGATCAAGCAGTACCGAAAGAAATCACATGGAGACGCGCTTTAAGTCGGCTACATATTAAACAATGAAATTCTACTGCATCATAACGTTATCTCACAGAATTGTTGGCGTGACAAGTTATTTTGTTCGATTATGTATACATCAATGACATGAATGGCGCTGATTTTCAGTCTGCCAATAGGTCACCGTCTCGGACTCCTGCCAGGTTCTTCTGCTTGGTCTAAGGGCATAAATAAAGCCTTAAAACACCATCGTCTCTTGGAGAGTGAGGAATGAATGTCATTTCAAAGCAAAGTACTTCTCAAAATCTGTTCGTTAAGCTTATAGTCTTGGAAGGAGAATCGCGATGGCCTTCTGTAGTAGTTGAATAGTTGAGCTTTGCTAGCAGTTGAG